AGCATCAACATAAATACCGAGCATTCGCTGGATAATGTGGAGATAGACCCGGCGAAACTGCAAAGAAAACTGGTTTTCCAGGCCTCTGCAAACGTTGCGTACACACCCCTGTAGCGAAGATCAACTCCCGCTATGATTATCATGTAAACCGCCATCAACAAGTCAGATACTGCAAGATTAGTTATGAGTATGGATTGGACATTAAAGTCATTTTCCAGCAAACGCAGTATAATAACAGCTAAGTTGCCGATGAGGGCAGTAATTCCAAGAATCATCATCAGGATCCGCAACGCTTCCCTCTTCAAGAGATCTTTACAAGAGGAAAACTGATCAGTAGCCGGACGGCAGTCGGGAACACGTTTCATAATGCAGCAGATACTAAACTCGTCCGAATATCTGTGAAATACAAGACCGAATAAAACCAATGTATCAAAATGGGTATTTATTATGATACTATTGCACAAATTATATATCGTCATCATTATTTCTGTTGTTGATGGTATTATTAGTAGTATACATGATTGTGTTAACATTGTAGGAGGCGATAACAGTAGTACCAAGAAAGTGCAAATATATTAAAAACTTACAAAGTTGTAAGGGAAATAAGTCCATTAAACGTATCAGGATCGTAGGTCCTTAACTCGTTGACTTGCAAGTCTCTATCGAGAATTAAATCAATTACAAACTTTTAAAATAAGTGTTGAAAATCGTCATTATTTTGTAAATAATTAATGCTCATTATGGTGGTTTATATTGTTTGTAACCGATAATTGAGCTGTGATCGTTATGTAACTGACATAAAAGGATACTCCTTATACAACATACATATTTAATACATCCTACATGTATCTATAAATACATATAAATTAATTTTAATTAATAATATTTTATGTGAAATAAGTAACGTGTGAAAATGATAAGTGGTGTAAAAGTAATTGGTTTTTTTTAAATAGATTCTTGATATGGAATCGATTGTTATAAAACCAGTAATCGGTATGATTTTCATACTCAGTATTTAATACTCGTCATGTGATCAATCACAATGTATATTCAATTATTATTTTTTTAATCTATATAATTTGTTTGTGATCGATAACTCATTTGGTGTATTGTCGATAATACGTGAGTTTAGGCAGTGGTTTGTAATTGATTTATAATATGTAAGGCCTACCAAGAAATTCTACATTTGGTTAGTCAGACACGACATCGTAATGTTCAAAAAACGATTATTAAGTAAGCTAAAAGTGATTGCATTCCTTCGTTAATTTACACATATTCTGCTAAAGGGTCTTCGTTTGTGGTCGCAGATTATTGATAGCTTGTCAGTTGTCACTTACAACTTTTGAAGACTTGTCAAACCACTGAAGGCACCCTTTTTCAGACTTGTTATTTTGTTATCATTCAAATACCTTGAAAACGAAAAAGAAAAGACAATATAATTACTAAGCGAAAATAAACTATTTAGAACACAAATAGTGAGCTGTAGCCTACAG